TCCATAAATATAATGAAAATTTATCGAGCCAAATTTGAAATATAATTTTTTTTAGAATCTGTAAAAATCGGTAGCTCAATAAGCAGCAGGCCTAACTTCTACCACATATAGCAACCATCATAAGCATCGAATGGGCTTGCCATTTTTTTATAACATGTGTAAACGTGTGAAGAACATACTCCATAAAAATAATGAAAATTTATCGAGCTAAATTTGAAATATAATTTTTTTAGAATCTGTAAAAAATCGGTAGCTCAATAAGGAGCAGGCCTAACTTCTACCACACATAGCAACCATCATAAGCATTGAATGGGCTTGCCATTTTATTATAACATGTGTAGACGTCTAAATAACATACTCCATAAAAATAATCAAAATTTATCGAGCTAAATTTGAAATATAATTTTTTTAGAATCTGTAAAAATCGGTAGCTCAATAAGGTGCAGGCCTAACTTCTACCACATATAGAAACCATCATAAGCATTGAATGGGCTTGCCATTTAATTATGACACGTGTATACGTGTAAATAACATACTCCATAAAAATAATCAAAATTTATCGAGCCAAATTTGAAATATATATTTTTTTTATCTGTAACATCAGTGGTCTAATAAATGGCAGGTTCAACTTCTACCTCATAAAGAAACCATCATAAGCATTGAATGGGCTTGCCATTTAATTATGACACGTGTATACGTGTAAATAACATACTCCATAAAAATAATCAAAATTTATCGAGCCAAATTTGAAATATAATTTTTTTTTAATCTGTAACATCAGTAGTCTAATAAATGGCATGTTCAACTTCTACCTCATACAGAAACCATCATAAGCATTGAATGGGCTTGCCATTTAATTATGACACGTGTATACGTGTAAATAACATACTCCATAAAAATAATGAAAATTTATCGAGCTAAATTTGAAATATAATTTTTTTAGAATCTGTAAAAATCTGTAGCTCAATAAGGAGCAGGCCTAACTTCTACCACACATAGCAACCATCATAAGCATTGAATGGGCTTGCCATTTTATTATAACATGTGTAGACGTCTAAATAACATACTCCATAAAAATAATCAAAATATATCGAGCCAGATTTTAAATATATTTTTTTTATCTGAAAAAGTCGGTAGCACAGTAAGGTGCAGGCCTAACTTCTACCACATATAGAAACCATCATAAGCATTGAATGGGCTTGCCATTTAATTATGACACGTGTATACGTGTAAATAACATACTCCATAAAAATAATCAAAATTTATCGAGCCAAATTTGAAATATAATTTTTTTAAAATCTGTAACATCAGTAGTCTAATAAATGGCAGGTTCAACTTCTACCTCATACAGAAACCATCATAAACATTGAATGGGCTTACCATATAATTATGACACGTGTATACGTGTAAATAACATACTCCTTAAAAATAATCAAAATTTATCGAGCCAAATTTGAAATATATTTTTTTTTATCTGAAAAATAGGTAGCTCAGTAAGGAGCAGGCCTATCTTCTACCACCTATAGAAACCATCATAAGCATCGAATGGGCTTGCCATTTTATTATAACATGTGTAGACGTGTAAATAACATTCTCCATTAAAATAATGAAAATTTATCGAGCGAATTTTAAAATATAATTGTTTTTTTTAATCTGTTAAATCGGTAGTTGGGTAAGGAGCAGGTCTAACTGTTACCACATATAGAAACCATCATAAGCATCGTATGGGCATGCTATTTTATTATCACATGTATTGACTTATAATGTAACATAATCCATAAAAGTAATCTACATAAATCTAGTCAGATGTATGTTTGTAGTGTGAAATGCACTTTGAGGTTAGTGGAAGTAGGCCTACATATCAATGGAATAAAAACAAGTGTTATTAGTGGTCATTGCACTTTATTTCGGCACCGCATTAACATAAAAATGGTATACTAGTAAAACAAACACTTAATAACTGCTCAAAAGGTGTAATTTAAACATAAAATGTATTTGAGGTTAGGAAGTTTTGACATGTGACACATGTGTTTGAGGTTAGAAAGTTTTGATACATGCATTTGAGGTTAGGAAGTTTTGATGCCACGGCCTTCTTGATCTACTGATCTGACGTGACGTCATAGCTTAATGTTGGTTTATTGGCAGTTTCACAGACATCCGGTAAGCTTCCCAACTAAATATTTTTGAAAACCAAATAAAAATATTTAAGCCAGTTAGTTACTTTATAAACTCACCTGACCTTTTACGCACATCTAACCTTAGTCTTCACAACAGAGCAGACGCCAGAAGCTGAAGTCGAAGTCTCTGAAGTTCGAAGTTTTAAACTGCAGACGACGACGACTCATTGCAGACGCAGTGGGAGCGAAACGAATTAAAACACGTAAAACGACGGGAGCAGAACTGAAACGGACTGAGCGAGTCGCGACAGGGAATTACAACGAAATTATGATTTCTGACTAAGTAATTGATTACGCGATACTAATTAAATAGCCAATCAATTTAGGACTCTTGAACCTAACCCCGCACTGACACCAAATGTGACAGGTAGCCGAATGAAACAACGAAAATGCACTACAAATAATAATTTATTTACTTAATTTATGATAAAAACAATAGTGAAGTGTTTAGCTTCCGACTTGCTGTATAATCCTATAAATTTAGTTTACAACACAAATAAGTTATTGGGGGACATAGCCTTCCGAGGAGGCTATGGGGAAAGGCGACGCGATGCGGAATTTACATGACCGATTGAATTGGATTTAGAATCTAGACTAACTGAACTGAGTGCGCTCTGCCCGTAGCCCAGAGTTGGGCGTGGAGGGGAACCAGCCAATCGCGTTGCGGCTATGCCGCGTGACGTCAGTGCAAGCCCTGGACGGTGCTGCTGCCTAACGATTCATCAGGGCATTAGGCAAACTATAGTTGCGCATTAACTGATTTCATCGAGCTACTTGCTGAGCTGTATCAGCAAATTCCAGCCATGCGCGTTACACTTTCCGAGAACGTTGGCCTGACCCAGCGCTGAGCCACGCTGACGGAATATTCCATGGTGAGGCAACTGGTTGACGCAAAAAGCTGGGAGGTTAACAGTCCAATATTACATACCCTCTTTTTATATTTGAAATAAAGCAAAGCTTCTGTGACGGTAAAGACAGGGTTTCCTGAGGGTGTAACCAAAACCTCCCCAACTGATATGTAATGGGTCTGGGAATTTTTGGGACCGCCACAGAAGGAGCTTTCAATGGGCACACAAACGTGAAACTGTCATATATTGCAATAAGAGTTTTGCACATTGTAATAACGTTATTTAAAAAATATCCAGGATTAATGGCAGTATTTTGTATATATTTAACTAACTTTTAATAAAGGTGTATTATGTAATAAAACTGCTGTTATTTAATTTGCCTGCAATTCATTTGATTGCTTATTACTTTATCAATATATTTACCTTATTTAAGTACTGTAATAAAGAAAAAAAATTAAAAAGTAAAGGGTATATGTATTTTTAAATACTGCTTAGTGTATATATTTTTAATTTTGTATCTTTATTACAGTACTTAAATAAGGTAAATATATTAATATATTTATATTAATATAATTATATTAATATATTTATATTAATATATTTACCTTATTATAATCATAAAAATATAATTTATTTGCACATGAATTAAATTATAAATTGATTTTTATATTTTTAATTTGCACTAATATTAATTTATTAATCAATGCCATATATTTTATTTTATTAAAATAAAGTATATTTGAAAGATTTTATCAACTTATATTAGTAAAAGAGTTCAAATGAGATTTAAAAATTAAAACTTACCAAATTAGATGTGGATTTTCTCGTAACTGAAACATCTCTCATGAAACTGTCTGCTGTGGAAAACCAAGGCAACCTTGGTACGTATAAATCGTCTGTACCTTTACCACTTTTTTTGGACTCGCACACCTTCAACAGTTCTTTGTATGTTTTGATTTGTATGTGCTCTTTATAGCTTTTATACGGGCTCTTAAGAAAGCTATATCTGGTACGGGTACACCTTCGTCTGTTAAATCAACCATTAACTTCAACATTGCACTTTCTCTTTTTGCCTTATTAGCATAATCTTTACCTTACTTTACTTTACTTTCTTATGAAATGGCGACCATACTATGTAGGTATTTTAAGCCAAGTATGAATGGAGATGAGTGTAGGATGAGTGGCGCGATCTTGTAGTCTTGTTAGTGACTAAGGCCGACATTCCTTAGACACAGCTGTTAATTAATAGCCCAAACAGCTAATGGCAACTAAGGGACCTACAGTTTATAGTGGAATCCGAACCACATTTTTCCTTGGTATATACGAATTGGTCTAATTATCAGGATAGTACTGCGGATAGTAGATATCAGAGTGCCTTGTGTTCCACAAGAGCTCATAGTTAAAGTAAATGTCAAGAAATTTCATTATATAGTCTTGGTTCCACTTGATACATGGTTTTTTCTTCCCTTCTTCAGTTTTCTGTGACGTTCCCTCTTCGGATTTCTGTGACTTGGAACAGGACATGTCTTCAAATTCACAAATTTATAATCGTCAGTACAAATAAACCGTCAAAAACTACTGAACGCACATGAAATGTACACTATAAAGAAACTTTGAGCACACACAAACAACCTTCCTCCACAGAGTCCAGTGAGCTACTGGCGGCCACTACCTTAAAAGACACGTCCAGTAATGGCCGCCACTAGGTCACGTGACCGTCACGTGACAGTCTACTGGCCCCTCAACGTCCACTAAAAGCAAACCTGTTTGACTTTACTGGCTGCTGCCACTACGTATTGGACGTTGAAGCGTCTAGTACTCCTGTACACGAGGACAATAGATGGAAACTTCACTGGATTCACTGGCGGCCATTAGTGTCCACTGCTATTGGACGCCACTATTGTCCTCGTGTACAGTGGCCTTTAAGCCCCCTGCAGACGGGGCAATTACTGGCGGCCACAAGTAAAGGCCATTAATGGCCGCCACTAAAGTTGCCCCGTCTGATGGTTTTACTCCTGCTGAAGGGCCAGTAAACTGAACGAAATACTGGCCGCCTCTTGAAAGCAAACGAGTTTGCTTTTACTGGCCGCCTGACGTCCAATAGCTGGTCACGTGACCTAGTGGCGGCCATTAATTGCCGCGTCTGAGGAGGCACTGGCCACCGCCAGTCAGTCGCCAAGTCGCCAGTAGGGTGGATGACTCGAATGAGAAACGTTGTGCGTGTAATATTTGCTGTGCCTAGTGCGTTTAAAATATGGCTGCAAAACCAGAACCAGTGAAAAGGAAGTGTGTCAAATGGAATGCAGATGACATCAGTACATTTTTAGAAACATATATAAACTTTGAGGTATTATGGAATACGCGTCATCCTGATTATGCAAATCAAACAAAGAGAACAAGTGCAATGTTGAAATTACAGGCAGAACTGAAAGGACTCGGAATCGCAGTTCCCGACTTAGCATTTTTGCGTGCCCGAATAAAAACAATAAAAACAACATACAGAAGTGAACTCTCAAAAGTTAATGATTCGAAAAAATCTGGTGCAAGCACAGAAGAGATATACGTACCAAAATTGCAGTGGTTCACACTAGCCGATAGTTTTCTGAGGGAGGTCGCCATCACCAGGAACTCAAAGTCTAATTTGGTAAGTAATATATTAATGAAATATCTAGGTTTAATGTAACCATGGACTTGTAGCGATTTGTAAATATACACATAATCAAATTTCCAATTGAACGCCGGAAATTTACCTAAAATATTTCATAAACAATTAATACAGATACATTTAACCTTTTTCATAATTACAGCATATAATGTTGAGATAAACAACCTTTTTGCATTTTCCCTCCATCTGGTTTATTGTTTCATTTTATCCCCCCCTCCCAAAAAAAAAAAACAAAAAAACATTGTAATGTCCAAAATATGTATTTTAATAATAATAACAGAAGTAGGCCTAGTAGTTATTAAAAAACTGACAACAAAAAATGTGTTTTATGTATGTTTTATTTCATACATTAAGTTATTTGATAATACACATAACTCTTATGTGTACATTAATGTGAACAATATGAAATAAGTACACGTTTAATAGTAAGATGTTGCCCTAGCCTCTATATTTACATGCCTATAGCTTTCATTTGCCATGGTACACGTCCATCTCCGCTGAAGTATTCAGCAAGGCGCTGTCTTGTTGTTGAGGCCTTAATGGAATATGAGTTTGCTCGACGACTACCATTCAATGAAGGTAATTCAGTACCACTGGAACGCCATAGACCCGGATGGAAAAGTCCAGTATCTATGTCCTCATAGTCCACCCATCCTCTTTCAAAATATGTACTTGGGGATGTTGTTCGCAGCCAATTATGTAACGTACATGCACATTGCACAATCAAGTCAATAGTTTCGATATCAACTTCAATTTCCCTACCAAATATTCTGAATCTTGCTGCTAGTATCCCAAACGCATTTTCAACTACTCGGCGTGCCCGTGACAACCGATAGTTGAATATACGTTCCATTAATGAAAACTTCTTCTTTGGGTATGGCTTCATTAGGGTAGGAGTCAATGCAAACGCCTCATCACCCAGCAAGAAGTAATCAGTAGGTAAATTTAGTTCTCCTTTGTCTATTGCTGACTTAAGTGTGGACTGTCTAAAAACAGTTGAGTCATTCGCTCTACCATTTGATCCAACATCAATGTAAATAAATTTACAATCAGCATCTGCTAATGCTAAAAGCACTATGCTGTAACCTCCTTTGTAATTAAAATATTCAGAACAGGTACCAGGCGGTCGTTTTATAGCAACATGCTTTCCGTCTATTGCACCAACACATAGCGGGAAATTCCATTTAGCTTCAAAATTTCTTTGAATTTCCACCCATTCCTCCACAGTGTTTGGAACCTAAAAAAAATTAACATTCTTAATAATGTAATATCTAAGATATAAAATTTATTTTCAGGATACTCAAACTACTTCAAAGGAGGAAATGAATGTAACTACTGCAGATACTGAAACTGAAGAGGGTGCTATTGAAGAGGATGAGGGTGCTATTGATGATCCCCATGAGGAAAACACATCAAAATCCGATGCCGGTGCCGATTTTCAGAAGCCTAGGACCAAAATACGTCGTGTAACAAAGTTGGCAAGGATTGAATCAACGGTTCACAAATTACAACAAATAACAGCCAATAATCGGGCATCCACAACAAGCAATGTTTCTGCTGACGAGGTTGACCTTTTCGGGAATTATGTAGCAGCACAATTAAAAGAATTGCCATTGAGGAATCGACTAACTTGTCAAGAAAAAATTCAGTCGATGCTAACCAAAGAGAGGTTGGCATTGCTGGCATCACCAGAACCTCCTATGTCATCACCTTCTCCTATGTTGTCAGGAAAGTCTTCATATGGCAATTTATCCGATGACAATGATGAATATACAACAGACCAACAAACGTATACAACTGATGGGCCATTCCTGTATCGTCAACTTGAATAATAATTAAAAATGTTGAATAATAATTAAAAAATTAATTAAAAGTTATAGTTTCTGATACAGTTCTGATGCCAATTTATTTACGAATTCCTAAACCTGTGTAAATTAATACTACTTTACAAATCCTAATCTATAGTTTATATGAATAAGTTAGGATTACATACTTACTTTCAAATAATCTTGTAATGCAGAAATAATGGCCTTTAGAACAGAAGGCATAAAATATGAGATGGTGTTGGCTGGTAAACGAAACATAAGTCCTAGACTTTGGTAACTGTCGCCAGTAGCTAAAAAACGTAAAGCGACCTCTAGTTTTGTACGGGCAGGAATTGCGCTCCTCATTACAGTATCACGTTTAGAAATTGTTGGTTCAATTAAAGTTAACAGGTGATTAAATTGCATCACACTCATTCTCATAACTTTCTTATATTCAAGAGGATCCTCCTCTGCAAGTTCACGGAATATTGTACTCGAGGCCCCCATTTCCTCTCTCCGCCCTACCCACTCTCTTACCCAACAAGATCTTTTCTTACTCAACAGATCTTTGAGTTCTTCACTCAAACACACTGTAAGTTCACTAACAACTTCACTAACAACCTCACAAACAGAATTTTCGAATTGTACATCAACGTCCTCCATGGTATACGATGTGTTGTGCTCACATCTCAGTGCAGAACTGAGGCAACTACACCGGTAGTGGCCGCAACTACTGGAAGCCACTATTTGCCCCGTCTGAAGGGGTTCATCCTGTCCAGTAGAACTGGCCGCCACTACTGGCCTTTACTTGTGGCCGCCAGTACTTGCCCCGTCTGCAGGGGGCTTTACTGCAGTACCTCATCACACGTAGACAGTAGGCGGACAATTACTGGCCACCATTAATGGCTAGGTCTACTGGACGCCACTACTGTCCCCGTCTGCAGGGGGCTTATGACAATAATCCCACGAACCTATAAATGATCTGTCTTGAATGATATAGGCAAAAGTGGTAAAAAATGCAGACACATTTTAAAATCAGAAAATAACATTGCAAATACTTCTTTTGGACTATTTAGTAACTCCCAATAGATGTGTGTTGTTTAAAATACAATTTTAAAATGAACAGCTGTTTCAATAAAAAGTATTATCCACTAGGCCAAAATGTAAACAAATCTGTGGAGGGATCTTTAAAGGCTTCTGGGGCAGAGCCCTAAGCGAATTTACTTCGTTTTTCTTTTGATAACTCATCTACAGACCAAGACCTTTCTTTGGACACCTTTACCAAGTTTCTACGCCCAGCCGTTCTCTCAAATTAGTGGAGACAAAGTTTCCAATTAAATATTTAGATTCCCCCATGTTAATCTTATGGGAGAAAATCCAACTTTGATGGAAGATCCTGCCCAAACTAATAAAGATATCAAAAAACTAAAAACACTTTGCAAAACTACAGATCAGAGCAATTTTTTTGACACTTAAATCATCAAAATCTGTCCAAAAATGAGGGAGGAGTTCTGTTCACAAAAATCGGCTTAGCGTATTTTATACAGGGTGTCCCACGAGAGGTGTCTCAAATTGATTACGGGATAACGGCTTAACGTACAAGGATGAAATAAAATTATTTCCTTCTAAATCAACCCCAAGGAAAAACGTAAAAATATTTTTAACTTTTTTCAAATACAGGGTGTGCCAAAAACTGAGGGTCACTAGTTCGAATCTCGGAATTTTCAAATGTAAACATATGTCATGTTATACATCATTTTAAAGGTATTTGATAGACAAACATTTTGGCGAAAACCAAAATTAGTTATCTTTTTCCGTTTCAAAATGGCGGCAGTTTTTTTGAAAGAAATCTATATTTTTTTAATACTCTGTATTTCCTATACCAATGCATTTAGCACTTCTCCGGTTGCTTTTTCTTACTCGTTATGAAATTAGCTTTACTGTTATATGCAACAAGTAACGGTTTTTTGAAATAATAAAAATTCCAAAAAAAATTATTTTTGAAAATTTACAAATGCTCATTGTTCAAAATTTTCAAATAGCAACATATGTCAAGTGGCACATCATTTTATAGGTTTTTCAATTCCTAACAACTTTGTAATTTACACTTACTTCGTATCTCTTTTAGTTTTTGTGTAAATAACAAAAAACCTAATTTTCCTATATCAAATGCATGTTATTTGGGTTTGACATGGTTCAACCCTAATGAAATGAAGCCTTTAGTGTCAAACCCAAATAACATGCATTTGATATAGGAAAATTAGGTTTTTTGTTATTTACACAAAAACTAAAAGAGATACGAAGTAAGTGTAAATTACAAAGTTGTTAGGAATTGAAAAACCTATAAAATGATGTGCCACTTGACATATGTTGCTATTTGAAAATTTTAAACAATGAGCATTTGTAAATTTTCAAAAATAAATTTTTTTGGAATTTTTATTATTTCAAAAAACCGTTACTTGTTGCATATCACAGTAAAGCTAATTTCATAACGAGTAAGAAAATGCAACCGGAGAAGTGCTAAATGCATTGGTATAGGAAATACAGAGTATTAAAAAAATATAGATTTCTTTCAAAAAAACTGCCGCCATTTTGAAACGGAAAAAGATAACTAATTTTGGTTTTCGCCAAAATGTTTGTCTATCAAATACCTTTAAAATGATGTATAACATGACATATGTTTACATTTGAAAATTCCGAGATTCGAACTAATGACCCTCAGTTTTTGACACACCCTGTATTTAAAAAAAGTTAAAAATATTTTTACGTTATTCCTTGGGGTCGATTTAGTTGGAAATAATTTTGTTTCATCCTTGTACGTTAAGCCGTTTTCCTGTAATCGATTTGAGACACCTCTCGAGGGACACCCTGTATATATATATAACTTATGTTTCTTGGCGCAACAAAGTAGTTTTTGACAAATTTTTTTTTGAGGGAAAAAACAAATTTTACCGAATAGACTACCCCACTTAATAGTACAGGTAAAATAGGGTTTTATAAACAACAAAATTTGTACATTCATGAAATTTCACCTGTGAGTTACTAATAATATGAGAAATGAAGATCCGATGAGTCCCCAAAATTTTGGGCGTGCTAAGGCCCTTTTTGGGGCCCTTTTTGTTCCGAAGGGCCCTTAATCCTGAATAATTTTGTTTTTACGTTTAAGGTCGTGTGAGGTGTGGTTTTCGATGGTTTTAGTTATTTTAAATCGATTGGGACTAGTTTTATGTGTATTAAACCACTCCGTACAGGGTGTTTAGAAATATTATTACTTTTTACAATATTTAAACATTTATTCATAAAGTGATAAAATTAGTTACTTCCATGCATGCTCTATATAAAAAGGGATTATTGAAAATAACTGTAATTCTTTACTATATAAGAGAGAAGGATCTCAAGGAGTAAGAGAAAATATTAAATACCCCGTCACAGCAAACCTGCAGACTAAGCTAATTTTAATTTGTCCGATTTTCAATTAAATCTAATAGTTTAATGAAAAAAGGGTCTAATAGTTTAATGAATACTTAGGTTTGCTGCTACAAGGAGGCTAATAAAGTGTGTTTATAGTAAAATCTTAACAGCCTAGTATAAAACAAATACCACTCCATACAGGGTGTTTCGAAATATTATTACTTTTTACGATATTTAAACATTTATTCATAAAGTGAAAAAAATTAGTTACCTCCATGCTCTATATAAATGGGGATTATTGAAAATAACTGCAATTCTTTACTATATAAGAGGGAAGGATCACAAGGAGTAAGAGAAAATATTAAATACCCCCGTCACAGCAAACCTGCACACCTAGCGAATTTCCGTTTTACTTACTTGATTTTCAATTAAATCTAAAATAGCGTTGCGTTTAATGATAACCTAGATTTGCTGCTATAAGGCGGCTAATAAAGTGTGTTTATAGTAAAATATTAAAAGCCTAGTATAAAACAAATAAATTTAATAAGTTTGATCAAAATATATCTATTAACAATAAAAAAAATCATTTTACACTATTCTACATAAGAATAACATGGGAATTTTAAATTTATAATTTTAGTATTTTATCCGTAACTAGTATCATACAAAAACACGTTAATATACTAAATTATTTTTTTAAGCTATTTAAAATGTTCTAGAGAAAAATTGGGAAACTTTGTGTTTTGAGGGTAAAGTAAATAAGAAAACCCAATTTTTACCCCATAAACCTCGTTCCCATTGTTCAGGACAAAAATGCTTGTGCCGACAATGCTGCTCTGATGTCTTAGTGCTGTCCTGGTCGTCATAACCACGAAAGATAACTGTACTTGGATTGATTGAAAATAAGTTTGAGGAACTTAAGATACAAGTTGCAAACTTCAGTATGTATGAAAGGTGTTTTTGCACCACATTGTTCGTGCTTTAAGATTGGTGTTGCCTGTTCTGCAATATGCAAGGTTTTAGGTTTGTAAAGGGGAATCCTGCTTGAACACCAACTTGGACAAAATCAGTAAAGATGGACAAGTTGCTAAGAATAATACAATTTTTAATGAGTCGTCTGAGAATAATTATTGTGATAATGAAATTGTAAAGAGAGATATTACATAAATTGTAGAAAAATAGCTTTAGTTTAAGTACTTCATTTTAATATGTAATGTAAGGTTATATACAAATGCAATTGTTTTAATTTTTAATAAATGTAAAAAAATAACTTAAATACTACCTTAGAAAAATACATATCAATTTGAAATTGGTCTTAATAGATTTGCATAATAAACACGTTGAAAGATTATTCACACCACCTTACAAGTTGAAATTTTTGCTTAGTAACCTATGTTATCATGTTATAGTGTGAAACTTCATCCATCCCCTTCATCCCCTTTTAGCGAACATCCCATTTAGGATATAAGCTATTACCGAAGGTCTCATGGTAAAACATAGACCCGAAACCGATTTACGTTTTCATTTCGATGGCCCCAGAAGCCTAAAGCACCATCTACTCAAAATAGTATATATGTGTTTATATCCATATATAATATAATATATCCATGTTATATACGTGTCCATAAACATGATAACTCGAGTAATTTAGGTTCAATTTTAACGAAACCGGCATAATCGGTCCATGGAACAGGGTTTTATGTGGTAAAAATATGTAATCTTTGACCCTCAAAAGACAAAGTTTCCCAATTATTCTCTACAGCATTTTAAAGAGCTCAAAGAAAACAAATAATTTCGTATATTAACGTGTTTTGTAAGTGTGTTAGTTACGAATAAAATTCAAAAATAGTAAATTTAAAATTCCATGTTCCATGTTCCATGTTTTTCCTATTCTTAAGGAGAATAGTGTAAAATGATTTTGTTTGTTTGTTTATAGATATGTCTTAGTAAAACTTGTCAAATTTATTTGTTTTATACTAGGCTATTAAGATGTTACTATAAACACACGTTCTAGCCTCCTTGTAGCAGCAAACCTAAGTATTCATTAAACTATTAGACCTCATTTCATTAAACTATTAGATTTAATTGAAAATCGGACAAATTAAAATTAGCTTAGTCTGCAGGTTTGCTGTGACGGGGGTATTTAATATTTTCACTTACTCCTTGAGATCCTTCCCTCTTATATAGTAAAGAATTAGTTATTTTCAATAATCCCCTTTTATATAGAGCATGCATGGAGGTAACTAATTTTATCACTTTATGAATAAATGTTTAAATATCGTAAAAAGTAATAATATTTCTAAACACCCTGTACGGAGTGGTTTAATACACATAAAACTAGTCCCAATCGATTTAAAATAACTAAAACCATCGAAAACCACACCTCACACGACCTTAAATGTAAAAACAAAATTATTCAGGATTAAGGGCCCTTCGGAACAAAAAGAGCCCCAAAAAGGGCCTTAGCACGCCCAAAATTTTGGGGACTCATCGGATCTTCATTTCTCATATTATTAGTAACTCACAGGTGAAATTTCATGAATGTACAAATTTTGTTGTTTATATGGAGTGTTTTTGTATTATTTTACCTGTACTATAAGCCCCTATTCCCACCATCATACCACGCTTCTTAGCGAATGTTTAAATAAACGTAGAATTACACTGTGTACTACATTTAATCAATATCTGATATTTATTGATTTATTTTTTAAACAGACTATTATATTAGGTTAAAAGAAGGTTTTGAAAACTCTTACTTGAGAGTACACATATGCCATGGTTGATGGTTTCCAATGTGGGCGTTTCTTCAAAAACGCAAAAGTGTTTTTTCTTGATTGAGCATCTTTTCGCCTTTGTAGTTTTTTTTTTGTCGTTCTTTTTCCGGTGTTCTCTGGAAAGAAGATGTAGCTGTCAACTCATCGGGAAATTGCAGAGCTTGCCTTTCTGCTGCTTTTCTTGAAGTTGTCAACTCTTCGGGAAATTGCAAAGCTTGCCTTTCTGCTGCTTTTCTTGGGGATGACCTCACAGATTGTTTTGATGAAGAAAGTTTAAGCAATTTTTGGGGTGAGGGTATGCTATCACTTTGAGAGTCAGAAATTCCATCGAGATGTCGAGGTCTTTTAACCCTCAAACCACGACCCCTTAACTCACTTTCTGAGGCAGTGAGTGTTTTTTTACCGAGATTTAGACGTATTGCATCCTTCATGCATCTGTCGAATGAGTCTGAAAAAACAATCACAGCACTTGGATAACATAGTTATATTAATTTACCACTTAAACTTAAGTTATTAGATTTAAATATTATATATGTTCTTGTCTGGTTAGGCTTCCACAGTCAGTTATATTCTAGAATCGTGGTAAACTGGTGACAACGTGGTGTTGAACTTGACTAATCACACTTTTTCCAACAATGTTTCGAGCTCGATGTCTAGAGTGCCATCCGCAGAACAACTTGAGTTCTGCACAGCTTTATGTTTCATCTAGATGACAAAAAAGAAACTACAACCACTGATGGCTACCAAATTTATACCCCTTAATGCAGGTTTGTCAGCAACAGACCTTTTTAGGTGCGATTGAGAAATGAATTTTCCTAATGTTGAAAGTAGAACAACTCCTGGAGGCAGAAGGGCTATGTCCCCTTGGTTGGCCGCATTCCTGGGTTGCCTGTTGTGACGACCTCTAGCTTTGGTGTAGCTTTCGTTGTCTGGGCTGGACTGGACTACTCCGTCAGAGGCTTGGTCAGGGCTGGCTGGAGAGTCTGCGACTGGTTTCTGCGTCGGGGCGACTGAGGCTGGCTTCCGGGCTGGAGTTCTGGTGGCTGCTGCAGCGTAGCTTAGCTGCCTCTCTTTTTTAAGGCAGTGCAGCCTCTGTAGTTAGCAGAGAGGCTGCCTCCGCAGTTGCAACACTTAGCAGGGTCCGTGGAGGCTTTGGGACAAAGAGTCCCTTTGTGGGAGTCAGAACACCGGACGCAGCACAGCTCCCGATGGCAGTTGGCCGAGCCGTGGCCGAATCCCTGGCAGTGGTGACACTGGATGGGCCCCTTTGATCTGGTGTACCTCCTGACCTCCACCTTTCAGTAGAGCATCCTGTCAAGGTTGTACACGTCCGAAGGCCCTGGCTTTGTCCGTCTTCTGCAGGGTGACCAGCCAGAGGTTTGTGTTCCGGCCCCCTCGTGTCTTCAGCAGCTTCATCTCGATGATTGCATAGCCAAGATGCTCGAACTCACTCCTGACTTTGGTAGCGAGGAGCGTGGACGGCAGGCGCTTGCAGACCAACTTCAGCAGTCTCTCCGTTGACAAGGCAAATGTATGGTAGGGTATCTTATTTTCCGTAAGATACCGCTGAATGGTCCTAAAGTGGGCCACAGTCCTTGTCCTACAGGAGCCAAAGTACCTTCTTGAGAGGCTCTCTTTCCGGGAGGAGTTTTCTCAGCGCAGTACCTGCCGTGGAGGTCTCCAGCTTCACTTTAAAAAGAGTGAGTTTGGAAGGAGAAGCTTCTCGTACTTCGACCCAAAGCTGTACAACGACCTCCCCTCTGGTCAAAAAATATATGCCCTGCCATCTCTTAGAGCCAAAATTAAGCCGGATTTCTGGTCTGGGGCAGGACAAGACATGGCTACTGGTATGGATGGCAAGGAGAGAGCTGGAAAAGAAAGTTTTGAGGACTTGTTTAACTTGTTTATGGTGTACGTGAATGATGCCGATTGGTGGGCTGGATAAGAATTATTTGTGGTTACGTTACAACTCATTCTTTGCAACCTCATCATAAGTCTCATAGCTATCCATTTGTTTATGGGCTTTTTTTTAGTTTTCTTCGGGAATTGAACTTGTTTTTAAAGTCTGTGACACTTCTTTTACCTTTTTGGAATCTTATGGCATCAGTCATCCTTATCGAAGCGCGCTCCGGCGGATAGGTGATTCTTATAAAATAAAACGTACTTAAAGTCCAAGATTCAAATAATTAGTATTGAATGATTTGTGGAGAATGAAATTAACCCTAGCAGTGGCCAATGGTCCCGGCGGGACCATTTCACCGTGCACCCTTAGAATGGCCATGGTCCCGTCCAAACATTTTCTAACGCAAAAAACTAATTGATAATTATATTTAAAGTGGATAATTTTTATACCATTCGAAAGATGACATTCTAAACTTTCATTTTATTATATAAACGAACCTTCTAGCATCAATATGTCAACACAATTGCAATTTAAATTTGAATGAAAATTTCCGCGCGAATCTACTTCCACTTGTAGGGTTGCGCAAGCGCTAAACACTTTAAGTTTAGAAAATCATAGCGAGGTTAGTTTTGTTCCTATCTGGATGGCACAATTTGTTTTTTCAGGATTAATTTTGCCAACAGTGTCATTTAGAGGCTTCTGATTGACTACAACGAAGGTTTAGTAATTGGAAAATTATTTTTGTTCATAGAATAAAATTATAAATGCCTCAAATTCAATTTTATATTTTTTTATTATGAAATTAAACCGTCATAACCTAACCAAACCAACCAAACGTGCTGACAATGAAAAAATCTAATGAAGGTTTATTAATCGAAAAAAATAGTTCTGTTCATAAAATATAATTAAAAATGCCTCAAATCCTATTTTATAATTTTTTTATTATAAAATTAAACTATCATAACCCAACCAAACTAACCAGACTTGCTAATAATGAAAAATCAAATGAAGGTTTTACCGAAAAAAATGTTTCATCTGTTCATAAAAAAAAACTATAAATGGGTCAAATTCAATTTCATAATGTTTTAATTATAAAATTAAACCGTCATAACCTAACCAGACCAACCAAACTTGTTATCATGAAAAAATCCAATACAAGAAAATAGTGCTAAGGGTGGGATTCGAACCCGGGTCCTTCGGATCATCACTCTATCCACTTCACCACCGAGGCCGATGGCATCAATCGCGTATCGTCGCGGTAATGATGTTACCTCAGCCAATCAGAAGCCTCAAAATAATACTGAAGGCAACACTAATCCTGAAATAAAAATTCAGCATCTGGATGCGAGTTATACCACTAGATAGCAGAAGAGTTGCTGAATATTTTGGCATAGATTATTTGATCAATACATCGATAGCAAAGAACGTATGATTTTTTGAAAACACGTAATTTTACAAAAATTAACAAATGGCCAATGGTCCCGCCGGGACCATTTCTAAAGTCGAAATATATATATAATGGATTATTTATAACTATTCAAATATAGTATCCTTTTGTAGAGGAGGAAACGTAGAATAATTTAGTGTTGAGAAATGGCAGCCCTGCTCACTGTCATTTCTGTCAGCAACAAAACAAAATCGCCATCTGACCGAGTTACTCTGTTTGTTTTGTGCAGATCAGGTGACTTGCGTTTTGAAACTAAATATTGTTTTGCCGAATATCTCGGGAATCGTTCTTATTTTGGATTTTGTAGTTATATAGTGTTTTTGTGTTTTAGGTCTAACAGTAATATTTGTGCATGAATATTAGCCTACTGAAAAGTGACAAATTAGTGAAGTGAATTGAGCAATGTTTTAGTGTGGTATTTTAGCATCATGTCTGATGAATTTATTTCACGTTTACTCGAGACCGACCTGTTATACAGGGTGTCCAGGAACTCTCTACCAATATTTTAGGGCATTGTTCCTGGGTAAGAAACATATCTAAATATCATATTTAAATTGTCCGGAAGTCCTTATTTACTCAGATAGCCGCCATTTTGTTTTTTTCACTTATTAATTTTTTTCTGAAGATTGGTTAAACATACGAAGTTGAAACTTTGCACAAACATTTATGACAACTAGACAAAGCTACAAAAAAATTATGACGATTTTTCAAATTCATAAAACAAAATGGCGGCTGATTAAAATTTTGTTTCTTAAATTTCTCGAAAACCGTTGATTTTACAAAAATTTTACAAGAATAACTTTTTTAAGGCAATTTTATTAAAAATCGATCGACACCTTAATCTTTAAGATCGGACGAGTATTAACTGAGATATGGCAGTTTTAGTGATACGTGACCGCTTTCAGCATGCGCTGCAACTAATATCCGGCGGTCACGTATCACTAAAAATGCCATATCTCAGTTAATACTCGTCCGATCTTAAAGATTAAGGTGTCGATCGATTTGTAATAAAATTGCCTTAAAAAAGTTATTCTTGTAAAATTTTTGTAAAATCAACGGTTTTCAAGTAATTTAAGAAACAAAATTTTAAACAGCCGCCATTTTGTTTTATGAATTTGAAAAATCGTCATAATTTTTTTGTAGATTTGTCTAGTTGTCATAAATGTTGTTGCAAAGTTTCAACTTCGTATGTTTAACCAATTTTCAGAAAAAAATTAATAAGTGAAAAAACAAAATGGCGGCTATCTGAGTAACTAAGGACTTCCGGACAATTTAAATATGATATTTAGATACGATTCTTACCCAGGAACAATGCCCTAAAATATTGGTAGAGAGTTCCGGGACACCCTGTATACATAGACCATATACAGGGTGTCCATAAAAAACGTTTCAGGACTTTGGGAAATGAATCCCCATACTAAAAGGAAGAAAAAAGTTTATGGGAAGGTATGTCCGAAAATGCAAATTAACCCAGATATCCGCCATTTTGTTTTTTATACAAATTATTTTTAACTGTGAAGTTTTTTATCCAATGATTATGAAATTTGGTAAACATGTTAACATACACAAGACCTATGATAGAAAAAATTTTAAAGTTGTTCCGATTGTAAATTTCAAAATGGCGGCCGTTTGAATTTTTATAACTTAAATAACTCAAAAACGGCTAATTCTATGAAAAAATGTCAAGAATACTTTTTTTAGCATTGTTATTTTCCTATCAAACGATACCAAGATCAAAAAGATCGGACAAAAGATAACTGAAATATAAGGTTTTTTGTGTAAAAATAAGGCAAAGTTAGTCGGGGAACCCTTATTTTTTGCCTTATTTTTACACAAAAAACCTTATATTTCAGTTATCTTTTGTCCGATCTTTTTGATCTTGGTATCGTTTGATAGGAAAATAAAAATGCTAAAAAAAGTATTCTTGACATTTTTTCGTAGAATTAGCCGTTTTTGAGTCGTTTAAGTTATAAAAATTCAAACGGCCGCCATTTTGAACTTTACAATCGGAACAACTTTAAAATTTTTTTCTATCATAGGTCTTGTGTATGTTAACATGTTTACCAAATTTCATAATCATCGGATAAAAAACTTCACAGTTAAAAATCTTTTTGTATAAAAAACAAAATGGCGGATATCTGGGTTAATATGCATTTTCGGACATACCTTCCCATAAACTTTTTTCTTCCTTTTAGTATGGGGATTCATTTCCCAATGTCCTGAAACGTTTTTTATGGACACCCTGTATTATATTTTACCATTGTAGGCCTATGTAAAACTACTCTAAGATAAGCTCATGTGACTTCTTCTTGTTCACTACTACTTCCGTGTCATCTCCCAAAATGTAGCTTTGTGCTCTGTAGTCTGTTGATTTTGTTATCAAAATAAATCTTTTAAATTTACTTTGTGTAGTTATTATTTAGAAGCCCAAGAAGAATTAAGATGGTGTCAGAAGTGGGATATTTAGTTTGAACAGTGGAGTGTTTAGTATCAAGTGAATTTTCTTAGTGAATATTAGGTTAACCTCAAACCACGATGGCAACGTTTCAAGCTCCACAAGCATTGGACCTTAGTGGCAACGTATCTGAAAATTGGAAAAGATTTAAGCAACGTTTTATGCTCTACTTGGAAGCCCTTGGATCCGACAAGATGCCCGAGAGACGAAAAATAGCTATATTGCTGACCACTATAGGTGATGCGGCTCTAG